CGGATTAGTCGTGGCTTAGCATCCTTTTTATTCATGAGGTACCGGATGGCGGAGTGATCGGTGTAGACAATCACCTTTTGGCCAATGAGGTAAGACCGGAATTTGTCAAAAGCATAGATGACGGCTAGGAACTCTTTCTCCGTTGTTGCATAATTGAGTTCCGCATCATGGAGTAACCTCGATGCATAGTATATGGCATGAAGTTTCTTTTCTCTTCTTTGACCAAGCACAACCCCAATGGCGTGGTCACTAGCGTCGCACATCAATTCGAACGGTAGAGACCAATCCGGTGAAATGATTATTGGAGCCCAAGTAAGAGCCTTCTTGAGAGTGTTGAAGGCTAGTAAGCAAGATGGAGAGAAATCAAAAGTAGCATCCTTGGCAAGTAAATCACAAAGTGGTTTTGCGATTTTTGAAAAATCTTTGATGAATCGCCGGTAAAAACCGGCATGCCCCAAAAAGCTTCTTATGGCTTTTACCGAGTGAGGAGGTGGTAATTTTTCAATAACCTCCACCTTGGCTTGATCAACTTCGATGCCTTGAGGGGAGATTTTGTGCCCCAAGACAATGCCTTCGGTTACCATAAAGTGACATTTCTCCCAATTAAGAGCAAGATGGGTTTCTTCACATCGGATGAGCACTTTTTCAAGGTTGTTTAGTCAAACATCGAATGAATTTCCAAAGACTGAAAAATCATCCATAAATACCTCCATATAATCTCCAACCATGTCCGAAAAAATAGCCATGACGCACCTTTGAAAGGTCCCCGGCAAAGGCGCCAAAAACTTGATCGGGCTAAACTTGCAAGTATACAAGTGCCGATGTAGTAATAAAATACCGGTAAATACCGGGTCGATCCACAGGGAAATGGTTGATATTATAAAGTCGAGTATTGAATGCAAAAGGATATAAATGGTATAGTTTTTCAGGAACTTTGCTCTTTGAGGTTGATTTAAACAAGAATGAGAATTACTAAGGCAATCGGGATTCACCAAAATGCTTTAATAGTTATTTAATAATAGTTCTTTCCCAATAATCATGAATACGATGTCGCTAATATATTCTCAACTCCGGTTAAGGCAGCGAGAGCGTGGTTTTCGTTACGTGTAAGTCCCGTTACGGCTTATGTGACACCGCACCCGAACGTCCTTGAAAATTTGATTTTAAAATTCAAAGTTTATGTATTGGATTTCTGATTCCCAAACGATTGTAAAACGATTAATGTTTTACGTAATTAATGATCGATTATTGTACTATTCGAACTCGTATATAAGTACCGGGCCTTATTAATAAATAAAAGAGCCTAACATTATCTAAATAGTAACACATAACGTTTCAAGACAAGTTGAGGAAGGGCGGGCGGCCCAGATATTATTTTGGGCCCAACCCGCTAGAATAGCAAGTATTCGAGAATGGCGTCGTAGGCCCACTCGGGGCGATCCACACGGCTTGTAGCCCAATAATATGAATGACAAATGTCAAAAAAAAAAGTGATAGGATGAATTGAGATGAATAAAAATGTCTATGATCCCATCTTTGACATTATTGAGCTAATAATGGGAGTAGGATTTTCCTTCTATAATGTCCATCAAGTAAATTATTGAGATGAGCCTACACATATTGGAGATCAATAATGTGATGTAGGAAGTTGACTTGTTCTAAATAAATTAGGATGAGTACAAAAAGACATCTTTGACAAAAGATAAAACAATAGAACTCATCTTCCTATTTTTGGAGGTATTGATAGATATTTTGGACCCCAAAATAATTGGGATCAATGGGGAACCACTCCACATGATATTAGTACCGGCAAGACAAATAAAAATGGGTGAGAAGACTTACCTTGGCCGACCACCATGGAGAGGAGCTGTACAAGACTTGATAGGAATCAAATGTTGGGCCACCATCTCCATTTTTCGCACAAAATGGTGTGTTGTTTGTCTCCACTCATTATGGGAGTTATACTCGACCAAACAACGTGTATAAGGTGTCCTTGGATAGCCTTTGAAGTCTATTTTCATAATTGAGTGGTCTCTGTTCGAGAGGAGAGAGTAATCATCCAAAAATCGATCTGGAGCGAGCAGTGGTCTGTGAACTCGAGCTCTGAGAGTGCTGAAACTGTTTGGTGTATATCTCGAGTTATACCAATCCAAGTAAGGCGTGTGAGATACCAAAAGAAATCTCTCAAGACGAGGAATCCGTGAAGGTCTGGTTTGCATCAATCGGAGTAGTGGAAGGCTTCTAAATCGTCCGAGCAAAACACAACCTCGCAGAAACGGATCTACTCTTCTAAAGAAACGTGTTCACCGGAAAACACCCATTCTAGGGGCTGTTTTCGTACCAACGTTTAGGGGTTGAGCTAGCGCTTTGAAGAGGCTGTTTAACACCCATATTTGAGCAAGGAATCAGTTCCAAATCCACCTTTACCAAAGTCTTGACCATTGGACCAAGAAGGGATAGTTTAAAGCTCAATTGAGGTGAGGATGACTGACTATATTGCTTATAATTATTGGGTTAATTTCATAAGATTACCTAAATGAATTATATGTGTTTGGCATGATTTATTTTAATAAAAATGCCTAAATGAGATTATTATTGTTTATAAGCAAAAATACATAATATACAAATTTATGAATAAATTGTGTATGATTATGTGTTATGAATACAATGGTATAATAGTTGTGTAAACTATAAATTAAATTGTGATAAATATACTTTTACCTCATGTAAGGAAGTCATGGAAGGATAAAAGTGATATTTTGATATTAGAGCCAAGTTATACTCGAATGTGGAATTAAATTGAAATATCCAAATTATTATGAATTTGCATTGGTTTATTAAGGTTAAATGATTAGTATAAAAATACTAGTCGGGAATGTTAGTTCAATAGCTTTTGGGAGCTAATCCCAAGATATTGGAGTTAAGTAACCTTAAAGGATATGTTTAAGGTGGACTTTATGAACTCAAGTTACATTTGGAGTAGGCCTTAAGGGTTACTCAAAATGGTTGGAACCTAGACTAAGAAGTGGTTTAGGGATTAGCTGACGTGACTATGAGCCGAGGTCTAGCACGTGGTAGTATGACTATGAGCCGAGCTCTAGCAAACGTAGGGTGACTATGAGCCGAGCTCTAACACAAATTAGTATGACTATGAGCCGAGCTCTAGCAAACGTAGGGTGACTATGAGCCGAGCTCTAGCACAAATTAGTATGACTATGAGCCGAGCTCTAGCAAACGCAGGGTGACTATGAGCCGAGCTCTAGCACAAATTAGCATGACTATGAGCCGAGCTCTAGCAAACGTAGGGTGACTATGAGCCGAGCTCTAGCACAAATTGACATGACTATGAGCCGAGCTCTAGCATGAAGAACACGAGTTAATTACAAATGAATAACATCTTAGATTGAGGGTCTTGGAAATTGAAACTTTGATTATACTTAGTATAGTTGTCATTGTACTTGTCAAATGCTTCCAAGTACTGACCTCCCCTTCACGGGGGAGGCCACCTCACAGTTTCAGGTAGAACTTGAAGGTTGCTACCACCGCCCGTTGCTTCGGGAAGATCAAAGGAGGGGGACGTGGTTCGTGCTTCTTCCGTTCCTGTTTTGAAAACATTTTAAATAATGCTCATGGATATTATTCTCAAATATTGATTTGGGGGCTTGTATGCCCATGTTTGTCAAGGTGTGGCTTCAACACTTGTATTGAATGTTTCCGCTGCTTTAAATGAATATTTTGCATTATGTTTGTTTATGGATGTACTATGTGTGAATGATATTCCAGACGCCTTGTATAGTATGGATGTGTTGGACTGCGGTTGACTATTCGTACTGTACGGCGGGTTGTTGACGTGTCCGGACAGGTCCGGGGCGTGACAGCTTACATTCATCTACCGAAAACCCCGTTGAATATCAAGACATCACACCCATATCATATCAGACCGGATATATTTCTATTCTCGGTACTATATATGTTTATCCTTTAATGTTCATAGTTTAGACATCATAAACTAAATTTAATATACTTCTATGTTGTACACCATAGTCATAAACAATTAAAATATAAAGGATAAATCACAATTTATTGGTTCAGAACTTTTATCAAACACCTAGTGTGCATAGAGGTTCATCCCTAGCCTTAGCTAAGAAATTAGCCTCTAATGCTCATATTAATCACAATACAATATGAAATGTAATGGAACATGAAATTACAAAGGAAATAATACCTAAACACCAATGGTTTTGGAGGTTGAAGTTTCCTCCTCAAGAACTTGAAGAAAATACCAAGAACAAACATATAAAAGCTAAGAATTAATCTATGGAATGGAATGTCATTGCTTGATGAATTAAGGGCTTTATTGTAACACCGTCCCCAAATGTATTTACCTTTACGTAAATGATGTAATAAACCTTATGGAATGATTCATGAATTTACGAAGTTGTAAATTTTTATTATTTCTTTCGCGTGAATAGTAAATTGCACGTGGGACCCACACCGGGAGCGGGGGCCGCCCGACTTTCCCGAGACCATATATTTTATTCATCTTGGTCTAGATAATAAATATATAGTGGTGGATATTTCATTTGAGCCATGGAAAGGCCTGGAGTTGACCGATTGGTCAAAAGAAGCCCAAATTACCGGTACTGGTAATTTATCAGATAACAGCCCGAACTGAATTTCGGAGACTTATAAATTAAAGTTGGGGAATGTATATTCATGATACATGTCATAATGAGTAGGAGCCCGTAATATATTTTATTTGACCCGATAAAATAAGATATGATTAAAACAGTCCGAAAAATACAACTTTCGGGACAAATTGTACACACCGGGACACAAAGGGATGACCCCCCACATGAGTGGGGGCCACCCCACGTTTTTTTGTGCAAGAGTTGACTAATTGATTCCATAAGGACACATGAAGGATGGATGATAGGATGGGAAGAACATGGGTGAAAGCTAATGGACCCCTTCCCACCCACTCATTGGCTAAAGGAGACAAAAACCACATCTCCACCCTCTTTCATCTATCATGCTCGACCAACCAAGCAAAAGGAGGAAGGAAAGAGCTTTGCAAACCATCCCCATAGCTGAAAATTCGAGCTCAACCTAAGGGAGTCCAAGGAGGAAGATAAAAGAAGGAAAAAGTTGGGAAAAGTATGATTAATTAAGGTAATGACCTTATTATAACTTTTCCTTTAATTTTCTTCTACCATATGAAGTATATATCATATTAAGGACCCTTAATATGGTTCCACATGTCATAAGTATGGATTTATGGGTTGGAAAGTGATTCTATGTCCAAGAACGGACTTAGAACCCAAAACGACGGTTCACCGGAAAATAACCTTTTTGAGGTTATTTGTATTAACATGGGTTTTATGATTATAAAACCTTGTTAGGAACTTGTAAAGGGTATTTCAAGTGAGTTCACAAAGTTGAAAAAGTCGCCGGAGTTGTCGCCGGAGTTGACCAAAAGTCGCCGGAGTTTCACCGGAGTTCAACCAAGAAGGGTAGAACTTCTTAACGCTAGTTCAAGGTGAGTGGACGGCTTAATATCTTATAACTTTTGGGTTAATTATGAGATTACCTAAATAAATGTTATATGAGTTCATAATGATGTTTAAAAGATATTTAAACATGTGATTAGCCAATAGGGTTAAGATTGTATGAAAGAAATATATTGTTTGTGCATGGAATATGATATGAAGAATTATATAAAATACATATTTGTTTGAAATGTATAAGATGCACAAATGAATATTATTAACTTAATTACATGATGATTAAGTTGATAAGTGTAAGACTTGAAATGGCGGTCAACGACAACGTTGACCGATGGATAAAGGATTAATTAATATCGGTTGATATTAGTTAATTATGTATTTATATAATTGCATGGCTTTGCATGGATTGTGATACATAAGCTTTATGTATTGAATTAGTTATGAGTAACTAAGTATGATATAGACTCTATCTAGGTTGATAGAAGGTTGATCATAGGCAAATATTTTGGTGGAGGACCCTAGTACTTAAAAGTACTTAACACTCAAAATTTGGTGGAGGACCCTAGGACTTAAAGTCCTTAACACTCGGATTATAAATTGGTGGAGGACCCTAGTACTTAAAAGTACTTAACACTCAAACTTGGTGGAGGACCCTAGTACTTAAAAGTACTTAACACTCAAAATTTGGTGGAGGACCCTAGGACTTAAAGTCCTTAACACTCGGATTATAAATTGGTGGAGGACCCTAGTACTTAAAAGTACTTAACACTCAAACTTGGTGGAGGACCCTAGTACATAAAAGTACTTAACACTCTAAACTCGGTGGAGGACCCTAGGACTTATGAGTCCTTAACACTCGCAAACCGGTGGAGTACCCAAGGATTATGATCCTCAAAACTCATAGATTATGATATTGAAATAGGGACAAGGAGGAGTCCTATACACTCATTGGTATATGGGTGGGTTAGGGTTTTTAGACAAGATTATTGACTATTACTATTTTTCCCAAATAAAATGGTGATCTACGGATCGGGTATTTTCCAAGTATATATTTATACTAATAAATATTTCATAACCTGGGGGAAAGACTATCTATTTAAGTATCACCCTATGTTTGGGTCTTATACTTGAAACGTTAGTTATTCTATATTTAGCCTGCTACTCGCTCGGTACTTGTACTGACCCCTTCGGGGGGCCCCACCATTTTCAGGTTGAAGCTAGGGCTTGCTACTTGCACCTTCTCACGGGTGGTATCAAATCAGGAAGACGTGGTTCGTGCTTCCTTATTTTCTTTCAAACTACCGAACACTTGCTCATGGATATTTTTTTTCTACTATAAACTACTTTTGGGGCTTGCATGCCCATGTTGTTGGCCGGTTGTGGCTTATGACTTACCGTTGAATATTTCCGCTATTCATTGGTTTAAATGTGATGTTGTTATGTATGTTTACTACTGAGTATGGATGGATTGTTTTCTCAAACGCCTTGTGTAATTAAGTGAGGTTGACTCGCGGGTGACGTCACTTAATTATACGGCGGTTGTACACGCGCTTGGATTGCGGTCTGGGGCGTGACAATTAAGTGGTATCAGAGCCATCTCAGTTCTAAACTATATAATCAACCTCTCACAAAAGATTTTACAAAAGAGTTTCTACCGAAAACCATGAGCATTGTATTTTGACGTTTATAGGACTGTTGGTGCTTAAGTTGCAAGGCCTCTAATTGTTAAGATGGTACCCTTAACAATTGGTATGGTAGTGACTTGGGCCAATATGTGTCTGTAACGTTCTTCCGTCAGTTGACATTTATAGGAGTCTAATGACTCATCCATATTTCTTTCAGAAAGGGAGGGCAGACGAATGAGGACCAGGAACAATCCGAGGGGGCAGGCGCCGGTAGCATCCCAAAGGGGAAGCCGGGCTGCATCTCGGGGTTCGAGAGGAGGCCGTGGAGGCCGTGGAAGCCGTGGAGGTCATCAAGCTCAAACTGTGAGTGATGGCCATGTAAGCTCGGTGTATGAAACCAACACCGAGGACTATGACTCAACCTATGTTCCTGAAACGGAGCATGAGGAGACCCCATATGATGGGGGTGACACATACACCGATGATGATGATGAAGAGAGTGATGCCAAGTTCGCCCAAATGGGCGAATTGCTTGAGTGGTATCAAAAAGAAAAACTGAGGAGAAACCTTAGGCGCCAAGCAAGGCGTGGCTCTCGCGGTGGTTCGCGTCAAGGAAGCCGGGGAGCTTCAAGAGCCACTCCCGTGGCGCCACATGATGGGCGTGAAGGAGGCTTTTGTGTGAGAATCTCCAAGTACCTCAAGGAGGCTAGGGCCTTGGGGTGTAAGTCCTTTGACGGCACCGGTGACATTACCGTTGCCGCCGATTGGATAAAGAAGGTGAAGGATGCGGCAAAGGACATGCAAATTTCACCGGACGTGAAGTTGACTGTTGCTTCACGGCTGCTTGAGGGGATAGCTTCCACGTGGTGGGAGAGTGTGGAAGGAAAATACCATGGGGAGGTCTCATGGTTGAACTTTGAGCAGGAGTTTTATGACCAATACTACACTGACTATGAGAAAAATGTCAAGCGTAGGGAGTACACCAACCTCAAACAGAAGGAGGGTGTGTCTGTTAAACAACTGGAGCAAGATTTTAGAACCTTGGCTAGGTTCTTGCCGGAGTACGCGATCAATGAGGACCGCATGTCGGAGCACTTTTGGGATGCCTTACTCTTGGACATCCGTGACCGGGCTACGTACTCGCGCCACATGACCTTTAGCGAGGTGGTGGAGCAGGGCCTTCTTGGGGAGGCTCAATGGAATGAGAGAAAAGAAAGAGACGCCGAGGAGGCGAAAAAGAGAAAATGGCATAATTCGGGGCCGCCCGAGCAAGCACGGAAGAATAACCACGGTGGGGGTGGTGGTACGTTCAAGGCGCCGGCACCACCGGCGAAGAAGAACAAGGATGCTCGGTGGCACGCATCCTCCTCTCAAAATACGGGGCCTCCTAAGTGTGCCAACTGTTCAAAAAAACCACTTCGGAAAGTGCAACGCACCCCCGAGGTGTTATCGGTGTGGGAACACGGGCCACATGAAGGCCAATTGCCCACAATTGGGGGGAGGAGGAGCTCCGGGATCCGGAGGAGGAACCATGACGGGGAGAAACCGTGCGGGCCCGTCAAACGGCGGTACGGGAAGAGGCGGCGCGTCCACAAGTCATGCCGCGTCCGTAAATCAAGGCGGGACCCAAGCACGAGTGTACGCAATGACCGAGGCGGATGCACGAGCAAACCCGGACTCCGTTGCAGGTAATACACTTATTTTCCTGTATTTCTAGGCTTATTTGGGTCATATGAGTCATTGGGTTTGGGTGTGGGCCACCCCGGGGTCAAACCCCGCGAATTCGGGGCGAAACGGACTAAAAACAACTACGCGCGGTCGCGCGTACCCACAGACGCACGACCGTGCGTGCGAGGCAGTAGCCTCTGGCCTTATTCCGCGCAGACGCACGCCGTGCGTACAGGGAAGGCACGCCGTGCGTGGGACGCACGATCGTGCGTGACCAGCTACGCACGATCGTGCGTAGCCGGCAGTGGCTGGCTCCGGATTTCGCACGCACGCACGGCCGTGCGTACCCCCTACGCACGCCGTGCGTGGACCCCCAACACCGGGAAATTTATTTTTCGCCCCGTTCTTCTACGTTTGGACCCCCGTTTGATTCCAAACATTAGTATGAGCCTAATAACCTCCTAAAAATGTGTAAAAGCATTAGAAAACGTATCTTACATGGTGTATAAATGTAGGAACATTAAAGATCAATGGTAGGTGTGCGAGGATCCTCATTGATACCGGGGCACAACGCTCGTTTGTGAGTGAGGCGTTCGCCGAGGGCCTTGACGTGCCATTGACACCTATGACTCAAACGTTGCTAGTCTCCACACCATTAGGAGACGACGTGGAGAGAAATCATTACTATCCGTCGTGTGAGGTAGAAGTGACGGGTCAACCTTTGACTTGTGATTTCGTACCTCTAAGCATGTTAGAGTTCGATGCAATCCTAGGAATGGATTGGCTCGAGAAACACCATGCCCGAGTAGATTGCTACACCAAGGTGTTGGAGCTCGAGGATGATCAAGGTAACACGCTATGCTTTGAGGGAGATCGGGGGAAATCTAGTGCTTGTATCATATCCGTGATGAGAGCACGGAAGATGATGAGGAAGGGATGCCACGCGTACCTTGCCTACGTGGTGGACGATACCAAGAAGGAAGTCGACATCAAGGATGTACGGATCGTGTGCAAGTACCCGGATGTCTTTCCCAAAGACCTACCGGGGCTTCCACCCGATAGAGAGATAGAGTTTGTAATTGAAGTGGAGCCGGGAACCAAACCCATTTCGATTCCTCCTTATCGAATGGCACCGGCCGAACTCCAAGAGTTGAAGGTCCAACTACAAGAATTACTGGACAACGGGTTCATCAGACCCAGTCATTCACCGTGGGGGGCACCCGTACTCTTCGTGAAGAAGAAGGATGGTACACTAAGAATGTGTATTGACTACCGACAGTTGAACAAGGTCACAATCAAGAACAGGTATCCCTTACCGAGGATTGATGACTTGTTTGATCAACTTCGGGGGGCAATAGTGTTCTCGAAGATTGATTTGAGGTCGGGGTACCATCAGTTGAAGATCAAGGAGAGCGACATACCTAAGAGTGCATTCCGCACTAGGTATGGTCATTACGAGTTCCTTGTGATGTCATTTGGTTTAACCAACGCACCGGCGGCATTCATGGACTTGATGAACCGGGTGTTTAGTGAATACTTAGATCAATTTGTGATAGTATTCATTGATGATATCTTGATATACTCCAAGAGTGAGGAGGAGCACGAACATCATTTGGGGCTTATACTTGATCGGCTAAGGGAAAAACAACTCTTTGCCAAGTTCTCTAAATGCGAATTTTGGCTCAAGGAGATTGGTTTTCTCGGTCATGTCATATCCGGTTCGGGCGTAGCTGTGGATAACGCCAAGATAAAAGCTATCATGGATTGGGAGAGACCCAAGAATGTGAAAGAGATACGTAGTTTCCTTGGCCTAGCGGGATACTATCGTAAATTTGTTGAGAAATTCTCCGTATTGGCGTCCCCATTAACGAAGCTCACAAAGAAAGGGGCCAAGTTTGTATGGGACGACAAGTGTGAGAAAGGGTTCCTTGAACTGAAGAAACGACTTACCGAAGCACCCGTCCTTGCCCTACCCATACAGGGGATAGGGTATGATATATACAGCGATGCTAGCATCCAAGGGCTTGGATGTGTACTGATGCAAAACGGTAAGGTGATTGCCTATGCTTCTAGGCAATTGAGGAAACACGAGGTGAACTACCCTACCCATGATCTAGAATTGGGGGCGGTAGTGTTTGCACTAAAAATTTGGAGGCATTATCTCTACGGGGAGACATGTCACATTTATACCGATCATAAGAGCTTGAAGTATGTATTCACTCAAAAAGAGTTGAATATGAGACAAAGGAGATGGATGGAGTTGATCAAGGACTATGACTTGATCATCGACTATCATCCCGGAAAGGCCAACGTAGTGGCCGACGCACTGAGCAGGAAGAGTACGTCAGGGACGTTACTTACTTGTCTGCAGGCATTGAGGGCACGCGTGGAGGTGTCCACGTGCGGGGCTCTCATTGCTCAATTTGAGGTTAGGCCCACCCTATTGGGCGAGATTAGTCGAAGTCAGGCCATGGATGAGGAATGTCAGAAGATCCGTGAAAGGATCCTTGCGGGGCCCGTTGAGAACTTCCGGGTACGTGATGACGGTCTGTTATTGTTTAAGGATCGTGTGTGCATACCAAGGAATGAGGAACTCCAGAAATCTATACTTGAGGAGGCTCATTCTTCAGCTTATGCTATGCATCCAGGAGGTACTAAGATGTACCGAGATTTGAAGGAAAGTTACTGGTGGTCAGGTATGAAGAGAGACATTGCTGAATATGTGAGTCGGTGCCTTACTTGCCAGCAAGTCAAGGCAGAGCATCAGCACCCGGCAGGGCTTTTGCAGCCACTCACCATCCCAGAGTGGAAGTGGGAGCACGTGACCATGGACTTCGTGGTGGGGCTACCACGAACAGTGAACAACTATGATGCAGTTTGGGTAGTGGTTGATAGGCTCACCAAGAGTGCACACTTTTTGCCTATCAACATTACTTATCCTCTTGAAAGATTGGCCAAGCTTTACACGGAGGAGATTGTGAGATTACATGGAGTCCCGATATCCATTGTCTCGGATAGGGATCCACGATTCACATCCCGATTTTGGCCAAAGTTTCAAGCATCGCTGGGTACTAAACTGAAGTTTAGCACAACTTTTCACCCACAGACGGATGGACAGTCCGAGCGGGTGATACAGATTTTGGAAGACATGCTTAGGGCATGTGCTCTGGAGTTCCAAGGAAGTTGGGACAAGCATTTGGCTCTAGTGGAGTTTGCTTATAACAATAGTTATCAAGCAAGTATCGGCATGCCTCCGTATGAGGCATTGTATGGGAGGAAGTGCAGAACACCATTGTGTTGGGACGAGGTTGGCGAGGCCAAACTCGAAGGAGTGGAACTAGTCGAGATCACCAAGGCCAAGGTGAGGGTCATTCGAGATAGATTGAAGGCCGCTCAGGACCGACAGAAGAGTTATGCTGATAAACGGCGGAGACCGTTGGAGTTCGAAGTCGGTGATGAGGTCTTCCTAAGGATTTCTCCTTGGAAGGGCATCATTCGATTTGTATCGAGGGGAAAGCTTAACCCCCGATACATCGGTCCATTTGAAATCCTTGAAAGGATAGGGGCCGTGGCTTACCGACTCAAGTTGACGCCTGAACTTGAGAAGATACATGACGTGTTTCATGTATCAATGCTCAAGAAGTACATACGAGACCCATCTCATATTCTTGAGAAACCACCGGTGGAGATCCGTGAGGACTTGCAATATGCGGTGGAACCAGTAAAGATTGTTGGTCAACAAGTGAAGAAACTTAGGAACAAGGAGATTCCTATGGTGAAGGTTCTTTGGAGGAGTGATCGAGTCGAAGAGGAAACTTGGGAGACCGAGATCTCAATGAGGGAGCAATACCCATTCCTTTTCGATTAGACACGTGGATTTCGGGGACGAAATCCCAAATAAGGGGGGGTGAACTTGTAACACCGTCCCCAAATGTATTTACCTTTACGTAAATGATGTAATAAACCTTATGGAATGATTCATGAATTTACGAAGTTGTAAATTTTTATTATTTCTTTCGCGTGAATAGTAAATTGCACGTGGGACCCACACCGGGAGCGGGGGCCGCCCGACTTTCCCAAGACCATATATTTTATTCATCTTGGTCTAGATAATAAATATATAGTGGTGGATATTTCATTTGAGCCATGGAAAGGCCTGGAGTTGACCGATTGGTCAAAAGAAGCCCAAATTACCGGTACTGGTAATTTATCAGATAACAGCCCGAACTGAATTTCGGAGACTTATAAATTAAAGTTGGGGAATGTATATTCATGATACATGTCATAATGAGTAGGAGCCCGTAATATATTTTATTTGACCCGATAAAATAAGATATGATTAAAACAGTCCGAAAAATACAACTTTCGGGACAAATTGTACACACCGGGACACAAAGGGATGACCCCCCACATGAGTGGGGGCCACCCCACGTTTTTTTGTGCAAGAGTTGACTAATTGATGCCATAAGGACACATGAAGGATGGATGATAGGATGGGAAGAACATGGGTGAAAGCTAATGGACCCCTTCCCACCCACTCATTGGCTAAAGGAGACAAAAACCACATCTCCACCCTCTTTCATCTATCATGCTCGACCAACCAAGCAAAAGGAGGAAGGAAAGAGCTTTGCAAACCATCCCCATAGCTGAAAATTCGAGCTCAACCTAAGGGAGTCCAAGGAGGAAGATAAAAGAAGGAAAAAGTTGGGAAAAGTATGATTAATTAAGGTAATGACCTTATTATAACTTTTCCTTTAATTTTCTTCTACCATATGAAGTATATATCATATTAAGGACCCTTAATATGGTTCCACATGTCATAAGTATGGATTTATGGGTTGGAAAGTGATTCTATGTCCAAGAACGGACTTAGAACCCAAAACGACGGTTCACCGGAAAATAACCTTTTTGAGGTTATTTGTATTAACATGGGTTTTATGATTATAAAACCTTGTTAGGAACTTGTAAAGGGTATTTCAAGTGAGTTCACAAAGTTGAAAAAGTCGCCGGAGTTGTCGCCGGAGTTGACCAAAAGTCGCCGGAGTTTCACCGGAGTTCAACCAAGAAGGGTAGAACTTCTTAACGCTAGTTCAAGGTGAGTGGACGGCTTAATATCTTATAACTTTTGGGTTAATTATGAGATTACCTAAATAAATGTTATATGAGTTCATAATGATGTTTAAAAGATATTTAAACATGTGATTAGCCAATAGGGTTAAGATTGTATGAAAGAAATATATTGTTTGTGCATGGAATATGATATGAAGAATTATATAAAATACATATTTGTTTGAAATGTATAAGATGCACAAATGAATATTATTAACTTAATTACATGATGATTAAGTTGATAAGTGTAAGACTTGAAATGGCGGTCAACGACAACGTTGACCGATGAATAAAGGATTAATTAATATCGGTTGATATTAGTTAATTATGTATTTATATAATTGCATGGCTTTGCATGGCTTGTGATACATAAGCTTTATGTATTGAATTAGTTATGAGTAACTAAGTATGATATAGACTCTATCTAGGTTGATAGAAGGTTGATCATAGGCAAATATTTTGGTGGAGGACCCTAGTACTTAAAAGTACTTAACACTCAAAATTTGGTGGAGGACCCTAGGACTTAAAGTCCTTAACACTCGGATTATAAATTGGTGGAGGACCCTAGTACTTAAAAGTACTTAACACTCAAACTTGGTGGAGGACCCTAGTACTTAAAAGTACTTAACACTCAAAATTTGGTGGAGGACCCTAGGACTTAAAGTCCTTAACACTCGGATTATAAATTGGTGGAGGACCCTAGTACTTAAAAGTACTTAACACTCAAACTTGGTGGAGGACCCTAGTACATAAAAGTACTTAACACTCTAAACTCGGTGGAGGACCCTAGGACTTATGAGTCCTTAACACTCGCAAACCGGTGGAGTACCCAAGGATTATGATCCTCAAAACTCATAGATTATGATATTGAAATAGGGACAAGGAGGAGTCCTATACACTCATTGGTATATGGGTGGGTTAGGGTTTTTAGACAAGATTATTGACTATTACTATTTTTCCCAAATAAAATGGTGATCTACGGATCGGGTATTTTCCAAGTATATATTTATACTAATAAATATTTCATAACCTGGGGGAAAGACTATCTATTTAAGTATCACCCTATGTTTGGGTCTTATACTTGAAACGTTAGTTATTCTATATTTAGCCTGCTACTCGCTCGGTACTTGTACTGACCCCTTCGGGGGGCCCCACCATTTTCAGGTTGAAGCTAGGGCTTGCTACTTGCACCTTCTCACGGGTGGTATCAAATCAGGAAGACGTGGTTCGTGCTTCCTTATTTTCTTTCAAACTACCGAACACTTGCTCATGGATATTTTTTTTTCTACTATAAACTACTTTTGGGGCTTGCATGCCCATGTTGTTGGCCGGTTGTGGCTTATGACTTACCGTTGAATATTTCCGCTATTCATTGGTTTAAATGTGATGTTGTTATGTATGTTTACTACTGAGTATGGATGGATTGTTTTCTCAAACGCCTTGTGTAATTAAGTGAGGTTGACTCGCGGGTGACGTCACTTAATTATACGGCGGTTGTACACGCGCTTGGATTGCGGTCTGGGGCGTGACATTTATATAGGCTAAAGAATGACATCTTTTAGTCTATTCAAGCTTAACAATCGGGTATGGAAGCAATATTTGATCAGATATGGAGGAAGATGGGTTTTTCCCATCAGAAATCTTCTGCACGTCGGACTGTTTTAGCAGAAAATCGGAACAACCGGCGCCGGTTATAGCATGTCCGGCGCCGGTCGGGTGCAAAAATGCACCGGTTGTGCTGCGCCGGTTGGAAACATGCCCGAATTGGGCAAAAAGTCCTGACGACCGGCGCCGGTTATAGGGCATCTGGCGCCGGTCCCTGCGCTCAATTTTATACTTCACTTCTTTTCTTCGTTTGATGCCCGAAATTGATCCCGAAGTGCCGGTTTTCGATCCCTTTTGACTTTTGACCCTATTTTCATTGCTCCATGTCGTATTTCATGTTTCCGCTAACTCGAGAATATTTATCTGTTTTTGCTTCATATTTTTGTACAGATAAATGTAATTACTTATGTAAAACATAAGTAATTATTTTGCTTATCACACTCCGGCAACAGACTTCTCACATCCATTCGGCCTTCAAGCTCAAATAATATTCCTTCTCTTCTCTTTCTCATGTCCCTATTGGCATATGAAGTTTACGAAGTATTTTCTATGCCTGCAATTAGCAAGGACATCATGGCAATATGCTATACATATGTGTTATGAAGACACTCACACGAAAGTTTTAGATATAGAAATATATATTATTGATGATTAGTTATCTTAACAAGGCATGGTTAACATCAAGGTGTTTCTGGTCCATAACTAACATGTTTTGATGAAGAATACATTTGTGATCCTTGAGGAAAAGACCTATATATCTACTAAAGTCAAACTACATCAGAAATAGCAAGTCAGGCAATTAAAGGTTATAAAATGTCTCACTAGAGATTCTGATGGCAAGAGAAATAGATGATGTTTGTAATAAAAGCAACTCTTTGGAGAGAAAACACATCACAATTTCTGTAATAATGAGGCAAAAATAGTGCTTTGGTTGGAAAGATCATGAAATGTAAATTTAGATGTTAGGGTCATTGGCGGGCGAGCATTTAAACGTAGAGGGACTGGTGGCGAAAGGAGAAATGGAGGGTGGTTGAGATAAGTTTGATTCAAAATAATTCATGTACGCATTAGTTGATATGATTTAAGCGACCTGATTAGGTATAATCCCCAGCACACAACATATACAATAATGGACAGAGTTTATAGAGACAAAGTCAAGGATAGATAAGAATTTTACCTTCGCAATCATGTAAAGACTATTATGAAACAACATTAGTTGTTGCCAAATAGAATACAAATGTATAATCGTAGTTGCGCTGCAAAAATTCAACTTGAAGCTCTTGATAATAAAGTCATAATATATGGATGGATAGACTTACTAAATTCAAAATAGGGTTTTAAAAAGGTCAATTAATTGATATCTTAAATATTTAAATATCAAATCAGATTAAATTTTTTCTTTTATTTCACTCAAGTTGTTGGATTTTTATCTATCTATCCACATGGTTAGTGTATTGGTAAAAATAATCAAACCTCACAAGTTCAAACTGCAACCTTTACTAGAGGGTTCTTTAAAGTTTAAACCCAAAAAGAAGAGTACATGTAGTCACTAAAAGTAATTCAAATAAATGTTTGGATGTTTATCAAGTTATGAGTCATGGATTAAAATCAAACATTAATAGAAAATAAGATGAATCATTTCCGGTGACTATATGTTATTAAAAGCACAAATACATTGTAGTTTTTCCTCTTGAGTAAACCGCACAAGAGTATTCAAAGAACAGTGGAAGAATCTGCATACATGGGAAATTTTATTTTTGAATTGATACACAAAATCTCACCAATCAATTTAAAATCAATTTTATATATGTATTAAAACATTTATCACACTAAAATCTGAAATGAATAAAAACAGGTCACCAATACCTCCTTTCAGATCCAAATACACACCAATCAGTGAACGATAGTGTGGTCTTTGCAATTTTCGACTCAAAAATTACATGCACACAAACATAAGTTTCAGATTAGTGTTAGTGTGTGGTCTATATAAAAAAATAAAGTATATAAAATTAAAATCTTGAAGTCTCTTAACAGAGAATGTAAAGTACCTCCATTCATATCTATATAAATGCAAATCAACAATTTTTTTTTTGTTTCTACATGATTTCCAAGCTCCGACATTACATGCACAACTATAATTTTATCAAAACAGTTCCACATGACATCGGAGATTAAGCATGTGAAATAAAATGAGAAAGATAGACATATTTACCGACATCACCGCTACATTAGATGAAGTATTTTTTAGCCATCGCTATTGATGTTCAACACTACTTGACGAACTTGCCGATTTGAGATCTTTTGTGTTTGGCGCCGCTGAAGGCTTTACCGTGAACGGGTGGTGAAGGTGTTTTGAGGACTAGCCTGGACCGAAAATACGACTCTGTCGAAACAGAGGCGGCAAATCTAAACATAAGAGACGCTAGGTTGATTTTAGAAGAAGACATTAGGGTAAAGATGACAGAGATACATGCCACATTCGAATTCATCACGCCCTTTCCGGGGAAGTTTATTACGGAGTAAATGATTTAATTTGTGGTATCAAAACATTAGAATGGTGAATCCGTAAAGAACGGTAGGATGGATAACAAATGGCTGTTGAACTTTCTAGATTCAAATTGGTGTGTACATAGGGGAAAAAACGAGTAAAAAACGATGCCTCCACGGTGCCTTACAAAAATAATGGGTTTGAGTAAATATATTGTTTTATTTAGCAAACCAAGTTGAATTATTCGTAATCACTTTTTTTTGTTCTCCTACGTCAGTTGGAAAGCCAACACCATACAATTGTATATAGTTCATATTCTTATGGCATGTTTGGTAATACTAGAATTAGATAAATTGGCTAGATTGACTAATTCTGGTGAATTATGAAAAAATTATATTTAAAAAATACTGATAGAGTATTAATCCTAGATAGAGGTGAGAGCTAGAGAGAGAGAGTGAGTAATTATATTTCTCAACTTGGAACCCCCTATAATTAGCCCCTTGGGGTCTATTTATAGGTAAAAGTGTGGATTTGGGCTCCTAGCCTTGGGCTTAGGAGACCCATTACAATAATCATGCCTTCTTTGGGCAAATAGGGCCACTAATGGGCTGAGTACAACACTTAGTACATAAAATAGGAAAATACATTCTGTCCGAGCGAAGTTCGGACGATGCGGTCCATGGACGATGCGGTCCATGGACGATGCGGTCCATGGACGATGCGGTCCATGGACGATGCGGTCCATGGACGATGCGGTCCATGGACGATGCCGTCCAAATAAATCAGGCGATATCTTCTTTCTTGGACGCTACGTGCCTCTGGCCGATGCGGGTGTCCCGCTGGTGTCTTTTGGGCCGTTGAGTATGTGGGCCATGGGGTCCAGGCCCATATACTCTATCAGGAGTCCCCCACTCTCTGAGCTGAGGTGAAGCCGAAGCGAAAGGGAGTACTTGTTCCTTTCTGGGTGGCCGTTGCGTGAGTCTAAGGCGTTTGATGGCCGAAGAGTTCCTGCTTCGATTTTGGATGAAGCAGTTCCCTTATTTGATGTAGATGAAGCGTGCTTGGGAACTCATAGCCTTGATGCGGGCCGATGCACACTCTGTGGAAGTGCCTTCGAAGACGAGGCGATGCGCTTTCTTTTTTTGTAGATGTGATGAATTTTGGTGTGGACAAGTTGGCATGCTTCTATTGTCATCTTGTTGGGGTTGAAGAGCTCCCATCTATCCTTTTGGCCGTAGCGAGGACTTATTTTCATGAGATGAAGATGGTTGATTCTGTTTATGTAGACGATGCGATGCGCACCTTTGATTTGTTATGCAGCCGAAGCGTTTTGACTTGTGAGTTTTTGTTATGGTGAGACGATGCGGTCCTCTCAGTGAGTTAGATCTCGCATGGTGAGTTTCTTTTTATTTTGGGCTTTGCGGCCGACGCGACTCGCGATGCCATTGAGGTAGCTGATGCGACTCTTAATGCTTATCTGAGGTGAATTGTCCGTCTTTTGTTGCTGGTGAGCCGTAGCGCACCCTTTTATATTAAGGCCGTTGCGGTTTCCCTTCTTGTGGCCGATACAGTCCCCCAGTCCCCCACTCCTTTGGCCAAAGAGCATCTGAGGCACAAGGGAGTAATGAGCCGATTCGGTACCTATGCGTTAATCGCGACTCCAACCCTTAGGCGAACCTGTCCAAGGTAACCCTGTGGGAGAACCCTTGGACGAAGGCCGCAATGCCAGGGTTATCATCGACGATGCGCGCACAAGCGGCCGTAGCGGTCTATTAAGGTTCCTTGGGCTGTTTTGAGAACATGGAGTTTAGGCTGATGCGTTCCCCTTTATTGGAAGCGTGGGCCGATGCCCGCGTTGGAACTTCGTAGTAGTTGGGCCGTAGCGGTATTCGGCCGGTGCCCGCATGAGTGCTTTTGTAATTGGAGCTCCTTGATTGGTTGGGGGAAAGGCGGCCGTTGGTGAAGCCAATGAGGTGGCGCCACGTGTAGTGACCGTTGGAGGGGTTCCTATAAGTACCTCCTCCTTCCGAAGCCTTTTCCTCATTTGCGATTTGCTGAGCTGAACTGCTGCCGAGATTTCTAGAGAGAGAAGTGCTTCCCAGAAATCGTCAAGTGTTCTTCAGACCTTCATAAGTTCAAGGTTAGATTCTTGAATTTGTTCTTCCTCTTTTCCTTATATTTTGCTTCCTAGGGGGTTAGATCTAGTGTTTGTAGGAAAAACCACTTTGATCCTCGAACCGCCCTTAGGACGTAGCGATAGTTGTTATGCCGTTCCCTGACGGCTGTAGCGTCCCCTCTCCTCTTAACTTAACAGCTTCTT